AAAAAAAAAAAAAAAAGAATAGGAGATAGTGTGTATCAAATTAGATTATTTAACAAAGGACTTTGGGATAACTGACCAGCCACTTGGAAAAATATAAAAGCTGAATCCTCGTACCAAAAATAAATGTCTAATTAAACAAAAATGTAAATGTAAAAAATAAATACATAAAGTTAAGAAAATATGTGTAAAGGATATATATATACATATATTTTAGATAGAATCTTTCGCTTTTGCCCAGGCTGGAGTGCTGTGGCACTATCTTGGCTCACTGTAACCTCTGCCTCCTGGGTTCAAGTGATTCTCATGCCTCAGCCTCCCTAGTAGCTGGGATTCCAGGTGTGTACCACCATGCCCAGCTAATTTTTGTATTTTTAATAGAAACGGGGTTTCACCATCTTGACTAGGCTGGTCTTAAACTTCTGACCTCAGGTGATCTGCCCACCATGGCCTCCCAAAGTACTGGGATTACAGGTGTGAGCCACCTCACCCAGCCATATGTGATGATTTTTTTAAATCTTGGAGGAGGAAAAGCTAAGCCATGACTTCAAAGTAAGAAGAGATTGGTGGATTTTAGTACATAAAAATGTAAAACTTCTTTACTGCAAATAATGCCTGCCTGAACAAGGTTAAAGTCAACAAACTGAGTGGAAATAATTGCAATATATTGGATATACAAAAGGTTTATATCCCTAATATACAAAGAGTTCTAATAACCTGTAAGAAAAAGACAAACAGCTTAACAGAAAAATAGGCAAAGAATAATTTGCAAACGAAGCTGTACATATGGCCAATTAGCATATTAAAAGATATTCAGTTTAACTTGTAATCAAAGAAATGAAAATTAAAACATGGTTGTTTTTCACCTAGCTGATTGCAGAGGACAAGTATTGATAATATCTTAGGTTGCTGAGAGTATGGGGAAACAGACATATTTCTTTACTGTGTTGAGGGTATAAATTGGTACTACCTCTCTGGAGGATATTTGTCAGTATGTATTTTAAATGTGACTACTTTCTGACCCAGAAATTCCATTTAGACCAGTATGTCACAGATTTTATTGTACATATGAATCACTTGGGGGTCTTGTTAAATACTCATTCTGATTGAGTAGGTCCAACGTAGGGCCCAAGCTCCTGCAGTTCTAACAATCTCCCAGGCGGTGCTGATGACGCTGGTCCATGGACCCCACATTGAATAGAGAGGATTTAGAGAACTTTATCCACACCCTGTTGCACATTAGAACCATCTGAAGCATTTTTAAAAAATACTGATGCTCAGACCTTACCCCCAAATTATTTGAATCATTTTGTCTGAGGTGGAGCATGGGCTTTGAAAGCTCTCCAGGTGATTCTAATGTGCAGCCAGGATTTAGAACTATTGTCCTAGGAGAAAATTGGACTATACACAAAGATATATTTATAGAAATGTATGTTTATTGCAATATTGTTTATAATATTGAAAAGTCAGAAACAACCCAGATGTGGTGGACTACTCAGTAAGTTGAGGCAGGAAAATCATTTGAGCCCAGAAGTTTCAAGGCTTTAGTGCACTGTGCTCAGGACTATGAATAGACACTGCATTCCATCCTGCAAGAAAAAAAGAACCTAATGTCCAGCAGTAAAGGACTAGTTTAAAAAATTCTGGCACAACCATAAGTGGATTAATTAGAAATTATATCATAGATATAGATTTATTGACAGAAAGGTATTCATAACATGTTATGGAATAATGCTAGTTACTAGGATGCTAGGACATTTATAATAGGACTCTATGTAAATTTATAAATAAATGTCTATATGTGGTAAATGCATAGAAAGATATGTGGAAAGATGCTTATTAAAATAGTAAAGGGGTCCTCTTAGGTGATTTCAACTTTTAATAATTATTTATATAGCTATTTTCTAATTTTTAAAAATATTTATTTATTGGGCCAGACATGGTGGCTCATACCTATAATCCCAACACTTTGGCAGGCCAAGGTGGGCAGATCATGAGGTCAGGAGTTTGAGACCAGCCTGGCCAATATGGTAAAACCCTGTCTCTACTAAAAATGCAAAAATTAGCTAGGCATGGTGGTGCATTCCTATAGTCCCAGCTACTCAGGAGGCTGAGGCAGGAGAAACACTTCAACCAGGAGGCGGAGGTTGCAGTGAGCTGAGATCACCCCACTGCACTTTTTGAGCCTCTATCTCAAAAAAAATTTTTATTTATTTTATAGATATGGGGTCTTACCATGTTGCCCAGGCTGGTCTGAACTCTTGAGCTCAAGTGATCCGCCCACCTCAGCCTCCCAAAGTGTTGGGATTACAGGCTGAGTCACTGCATCCAGCCAAAGCTGTTTTCATTTTGGTGAATAGAAGGGGTTTAGAAATACTTAAAACTGGCTGAGCGAGGTGGCTCATGCCTGTAATCCCAGTACTTTAGGAGGCTGAGGCAGGTGGATCACGAGGTCAGGAGTTTGAGACCAACCTGACCAACATGGTGAAACCCCATCTCTACTAAAAATACAAAAAAATAAGCTGGATGTGGTGGCACACGCCTGTAATCCCAGCCATTCAGGAGGCTGAGGCAGGAGAATCCCTTGAACCCGGAAGGAGGTTGCAGTGGGCCGAGATCCTGCCACTGCCCTCCAGCCTGGGTGACAGAGCGAGACTTTGTCTCAAAAAAAAAAAAAAAAAATACTTAAAACATAGGCCAACCACAGTGGTTTATGCCTGTAATCCCAGCACTTTAGGAGGTCGAGGCGGGTAGATCACTTGAGGTCAGGAGTTTGAGACTAGCTTGGCCAACATGGCAAAATCCCATCTCTACTAAAAATATAAAAATTAGCAGGGCATGGTAGTAGGTGCCTATAATCCCAGCTACCCAGGAAGCTAAGGCACGAGAATTGCTTGAACCCAGGAGGTGGCTACAGTGAGCCAAGATCGTGCCACTGCACTCCAGCCTGGGCAACAGCGCAAGACTCTGTTTCAACAAAAATAAAATATTTAAAGCTAAATCAATGGGAAGCAGGACTAGAATGTCATAATTAATAGCTAAACCTAATCAATTGTATTATAGCTCATTTGAGTAAAAAAGGTTAACGGAAGAGAATGATCAGTGTAGAGCATAGAAGAATGAAGCTGACCATCCTATAACCTCAATGACCCTTCAGAGTTCATGATAGAATGTTGGATATAGTAGAGTCTATGTCTAAAAGACAGAGAGAAAGAACATGTGAAAGGGAGAGAGAGGTGACAGAGTCTTCTCCAAAATTGTCATCCAAATTGGAAAGTTTCTCTTCAGAAGAGAATCAGAGTCTGCCTAATTGGATGGCTGACAGGATCATGAGAAAGGACATTAATATTTGTTATGTGACACCCATGTGCCAGGCAGTGGTTTCCAGGTGAAGAAACCAAGGCCCAGGCAACTCAGGTAATTTCTCCTAGGTACCCAACTAGTCATTTATGATAGAAACCAATGACTAACTACAAATCCTTCTTTTTTTTTTCTTTTGAGACTGAGTTTTGCTCTGTTACCCAGACTGGAGTGCAGTGGCACAATCTCAGCTCACTGTAGCCTACACCTCCTGGGTTCCAGTGATTCTCCTGCCTCAGCTTCCTGGCTAGCTGAAATTACAGGTACATGCCACCACACCCAGCTAATTTTTGTATTTTTAGTAGAGACAGGGTTTCACCATGTTGGCCAGGCTGGTCTTGAACTCCTGACCTCAGGTGATCTGCCCACCTTGGCCTCCTAAAGTGCTGGGATTACAGGTATGAGCCACTGCACCCAGCCCAAATCCCTTTTATTAATAAAACACTAGACACTCCTGGACCAAGAATATGAGAATTTATTATTCGAGCAACTTGGATTTTTATCCCAGGAGCAATGAAACCATCCTTGAGACCCGAAAAGGCTGAAGCTGTATTTTTATTTTTATTTTTATTTATTTATTTATTTTTATTTTTATTTTTTTCTTGAGACGGAGTTTCGCTCTTGTTACCCAGGCTGGAGTGCAATGGCGCGATCTCGGCTCACCGCAACCTCCACCTCCTGGGTTCAGGCAATTCTCCTGCCTCAGCCTCCTGAGTAGCTGGGATTACAGGCACGCGCCACCATGCCCGGCTAATTTTTTGTATTTTTAGTAGAGACGGGGTTTCACCATGTTGACCAGGATGGTCTTGATCTCTTGACCTTGTGATCCACCCACCTCGGCCTCCCAAAGTGCTGGGATTACAGGCTTGAGCCACCGCGCCCGGCCTTGAAGCTGTATTTTTAAACTTGTACACAGTACAGTTTTAAACAAAATTGGGGCAACTTTGTACCTTATTAAAACTGGGGTTAACACAGCATATTTGGTTTGACCTTGTCTTCATAGGATCTTCTGGCTGTTTCCTTCTCTGGATGAGTCCCTGAGAATTTCTAGAATCTGGGGAGAGTAAGGAAGGGTCTGGAGCCTTCTCTATATACAAGGAAATCCCAGTTTTGTTAAAAACTTGCCAAAGGCTTGGTGATGTAACTCCAAATACAAATCCACAGTTTCCTTTCAGGTACTGCTTTGGGATTCTGTGAAGAATTGTGGCTCTACACTACGATGTTTAATAGGAAGGAAGCTCCTTCCTTTATGACATCACCAGACAGAGCGGTAGCTAAGGGGACTATTTGAGACACTCGTAGAACAACAGCCAATTTTGTGGGAGCCCAAGAACAGCAGCTTTAAAACAGAGTGAATATTCAGGCATCATTAGGATTCTGAATACAAGCCAGCCGGTAAAATATGGGATCTACTCAGAAAGGCACAATCTATCAGACTGTCAAGACAAATAAACCTGGGGCCAAGGTATCAGTTTCAGCACAGAGAGGGTCTGAGGTTACTACCAACACATTCCCTCAGCGGGGACATGGGTACATTCTTACCTCAAGCCATCGAAGTGCTGCAGTCTCCCTGAACCCTTCCCACCGAAGATCAGAAGCTGCACATCCCATCACTCCCCATTCGGCAACAGACTATCCTCGATCTGTCTCCCCCGAGTTAGGGCCTGGACGCTATGCGGTACCCACCCCTCAGGGAACCGAGACTCGACCAAGAACAGAATCATCCCGCCATTCCTCTCCTCATCGAAAGAGCCAGCAAACTCAGACAGTGGCTTCCCATGCTTCAAGCAGACAACGGAATATTAGTCCACCCAGAGAGGAAGCAACACGAAGAGGTGGTGAGAGCAAGTCAGGGCGCAAGGTCAGCCATCATGCCTCATCAATCCCAGATGTAAAATCTTCTCGTCGATTAAGTTTTCAAGACCAGAGGGATAACTTGCAATCACAAATCTTACAAGATGACCCACCATCCAAGGTCCAGAACCCCCAAGGAGTCAGAGTTCCCCGTAGGATTTTGTCTTACCCAAAAGATGAAGCAGTACAAACTGAACCCATCCAAAGGATTATGACTACTACTGAGATCAGATCTCCAAGGAGTCCCTCTCTCCCAGAGCACAGAAGCAGCAGTGTCTCTGCAGACTATAAGACAGCCCAGAGAAGGGCCCCTGTAGAAGAATCAGAAACAAGTCTTTATGGTTCAATTCCTTTGGAACCCAAGGCCCTGTATAGAAATATGAACTTGGATTCATCACTCAAACTCTCTGTCCTTCAAGATTCTGATGGCGTACACCGAGTTTCTGCATGGGTAGATCCTGAGTCTCTTCACAAGTATTCTGTCTACCCCGAAAGCAAGCCCTCCACAAAGGTCTTAGTATCATCACAGGTGGAGTCCAACGTGAGAGCCCCAATCCGAGGAAACAGCGAGGTTGGCCGCAGGGTCACCATCTCCCCAGAGGTACGGTCAGTAGAGCCAACTCACCGTGTGACAGCTCGATCAGCATCTGAGGACTCCCACAGATCATCCATGTTTGTCACTCCAGAGCTCATCTATAAACAGCAAACCCAAAAACCCCTGGAAACTACCTACGTGTCCAAAGGATCCACACCCAGGTATCCAGAACTCTCGCAAAAGTCCTCCATCCATGCAGAACTGGAACTGACTCCTCGGCCCTTGCCTCCTCGGTCCTTACCTAGGTACGGGCCTGGCTCCTCATGGTGGGCCTTGCTGAATCCTGAAGTTGAAACACCCCAAAGCCGGCCAACAACACCTGATTTTGAGCCTAAGTGTTCTCCTTCCCTAGATCCCTTATTGTCCGGTTTTAAAATAGACTCTAGCCCTTTATGTGAAGATCTGAAGTTCCAGAGAGAGAAGGCAAGCCCATCACCACCACCATCACCAAAGAAGTCTCCAAGTTGGGCACCATTGAGTGAAGTGCCACAGACCCCCAAGCATGCTTGCAAACAACCCATTCAAAGGTTTAGTGCTTTCTTCCTGGGTATGTGAAGTAGCAGACTGCCCAGGTGCAGCCCCAGTTTAGTGAGATGGGGATGTTGGGGTGGGCAGGAAAGGCCAACTCTTCATTCTGGGCCTAAGGGCTGCTCTCCTGCCAGTGCCAAAGCTAGTCCAATACTTGAGCCCATTGCTCCATTCCTTCCCTGCCAGCTTCTCTGTGCTCCAAGCTAATGACATCGATGACGATGCTTGGGCTGGGTGACAGGCATTGACTCCTCTAGGCAACACTGCTTACCTTTTCAATTGAAGGTAGTAAAGACGGCTTGCAGGGTTGAAAGCTGCTTCCTGAGTGGAGATGAAGAACAGCTGGGGTGAGGGCTGGAAAGGGCTGTTAAATAGAATAAGGGCCTCAGGTAAATACTCTGGCAACAAAGTGGAGAGGGTGGGGTGCGGATGACCTGGATTTAGACTTCCAGGAGGGGAAAGGTACTCACAAGGGCACAGAGAGAGGGATAGGGAGAGTGGGAATATATAGTCCTAGGCTGGAGGAGCTTCTTGGAGAGGACCAAGGGCTGAGGGCACCTTTGGGTGAGAAATGTGGAGCTAGAAAGGGTGCTGCAAGTAGTGGAGGGTGGGATGTGCATCCCACAGGGAGAAGAAAAGCAACCATCTCTCTGTTACTTTCAGATGTCTCTGAGGAAATGTGCAATCATGTCATCTGGTGGCTAAAAGGTCTGTGCTTTTTCCTCCTGTGGGCCTATTGTGGGAGCTTGGGATATGGGAGGATAGGCAAGGAGTGGCATCTATGTATGTATAGAGCTGGGTCATTTAGGAGATAAATGCTGGGATTTTGACTTGAAGGAGCAGAGGAACTTCTCATCTTGTTGAAAATTCCACCATTAGAGTAATTTCTTTGGGGCTTGAAACCTTTTCCATTTCCTTTTCTTTTCTTTTTCTTTTTTGAGATGGAGTTTTGCTCTTGCTGCCCACGCTGGAACGCAATGGAGCGATCTCAGCTCACAGCAACCTCTACCTTCTAGGTTCAAGCAATTCTCCTGCCTCAGCCTCCCGAGTAGGTAGAATTACAGGCATGTACCACCATGCCTAGCAAATTTGTATTTTTAGTAGAGACAGGGTTTCTCCATGTTGATCAGGCTGGTCTCCAACTCCTGACCTCAGGTGATCTGTCCGCCTCAGCCTCCCAAAGTGCTGGGATTTCAGGCATGAGCCACCGCGCCTGGCCACCTTTTCCATTTTCAAGAGTCTCCTTTTAATAGGAAGTCACTTCAGGAATGGAGAATAATTTAAGCCTCATGGCCTTTCAGCTTAGTTGGCCACCTATCATGTAATTTAAAAAAATACACCAAAGCATACTGCCTGCTTCACAGTCTTGCTCATGGTTGACTTCATATTTATTCAGGCTGGGGACTCTTCTGAAGTGTTTCTCTGGTTCCTCAGAACCCTCCTCATGACCCCACTCTACCACCTAGGGTACTTATTGATGCTGCCCAGGCAGGATCTTCAGAGATGTCTGGGCCTTCTCCTTGAGGCCATCAGTGTATCTTGTAGCTCTAGAATGCTTGAGAGAAGTGTCCCCCAGCCTTCACCCTCTGCTCCCTTTATACTCTTGGCCTCTCTAGGGGCAGGGGAGGGTGGGGACCACCCTCGTGGAGTAAATCTTGGCAGCAGGGACTTCATGTTGTGAACATCATGGCCCAAAATATACTCCAGCCCTATGAGCATGACAGAGGCCAGGGCTCTGGATAAAGCAGTTCCTGGGGAGTAGAGAGCCCTGGGAATGCCGCCCAATCCCAACCAGCATGAACCCTCCTAGTGATGGTCAGCAAAGAGCAGAGAAGGGCAGTCCTGCTCCTCAGAGGGAGGAAAGCTCTATAAAGTAGGGGCACAGTTAAGTACAAACTTGAGTTACTAACTGGATTTGAGCCCTGGGTCCACTGTTTGCTGACTGTGACCTTGGGTAAGTTATTTTACCTCTCTAAGCCTCAGTTTCCCCATCTGTTAATGAGAATAATGGCTCCCTCTTAGGGTTATTGTGAGGATTATTACAAGCTATTACCTATAAAGCACTTAGCATGATACTTAGCAACAGCGAGCTTTCAGTAAATACTAGCTGCTATTATTTGGGCCACTTGCACTAGGAAGGGATTGGACCAGGTTTGCCCAAGTCCACTGGGCATCTTTAGTAAATTTCTCTTTTTCCTTTCCTATCGGCACACTCTGGATTCCATTTGCTGCCCCCTGGGAATGCCTGGCTTCTACTTCTCTGTTATGACAGATGAGGAGGTAAGAACACCCCTGGGAGGTTACTTCCAGTCTTCCTGTGCCCACCCCACTATCCAAATCCCTCTCCTGTCCTATAATGGGAGTGGGTATGGAGGGAGACAGCTGCTCCCTATGGTTGGGCAGATTGTTCACTGCACAAGAGCACCTGGTGGAGGGGGGCAAGTGGGGGACCGAAATCTAACGTGTTCCATTTGCCAAGCTGTTCACCTGTGGATCTGCATCTTCCCAGAGGGGTATTTGCACAAAAGCACTGTATGAGCTAGTTGCAGTACTAGAAAGAAAGAATACAGACCTTTTGGCAGATGATGAATCTTGCCAAGTGCTCTGTGAGAAGGCTGTCTAGGTAGCCACTGGATCAGTCCCTACCTGGTTCTCCCCTTTTCAGCCTGGGGCATTCCAGAAAGGGGTCGCTTTTCTGGGTTACACACTATTTGGGTCCTCAACTTGGAAAAACTCAAGGTGGACTCTGCTCTTGGCAGTCCTGTGTCCTGATTTTGGTAAACAGTGTCCTGATTTCACTGCATTGTTCCCATGAGTACTTTGGCTATTCTTGGCCCATGTTTGATAAGATGGTCAAAGCTCTTCCTACTTCCATTCTTCCTCTTGCCATATTTCTCTATTATTCAAAGCCTAGCAATGGCCTCTAATGGGTCCCATTCTTAGGCTGACTCAGGATGGACAGTTGGCCATAGAAAACAAATGAGTGCATAGTGGAGGTCAGCCTAAGCTCAGATAATAGAACAACTGAAGGGGAGGTATCCAGAAACAAGGCTGCCACCTTCCACTGCCATGGGTTCTTATCTAGCCTTATGCCATAAGCTCAGCTGTAGGTGGGAGTGGCTACCTTCAGAGATTATCTCCATGCAAAATAGTAAGTCCCTCCCTTTCTTTTTCCTTCCTTCCTCCCTCCCTTCCATAAACAGTTTTTATTCTGATGCCTGGCACTCTGCTAGGCACTTTTAGGGGAAGCATTGAAGCTTCGCAGTACACACATTCCTTGGCCTTGACAAACTTGCCATGTGGTTGGGGAGATAAGACACAGACAGGAAACGTTTAAACAGCAATATGAAATGTTTGTGCTCAAATGTCAAAATAGATGGAACAGACTGAGTAAGTGCTCTTGGAGAGTCTTAGGAGAGAGGGAGTCCACAGGGAAATGGATAGGGGGTCGGGTTACGCCCTCCTTCCCAAAGCCAGGGGATGATAGTGTCTTAGCTAGCCTTTTGCTCACCCCTAGATGCAAATCTGTAACTTTGGGAAGGGGTTAATATTTCCCTTTGGTCAAGATTTGATGTTTTTGACTGAGCACACTCCTCCCTGTTCTGCCCCACCCTCACCCCCTTTTTCTGTGCGTCTTGTTTTAGTTTAGGAAGTCAAAAGCCTTGGCAGCAGGATGGCTCCTTCCTAAAATAGCTCTTATCCTGTCTCGATAATTACAGCTCTCCAGCCCTGTTCAGCAGCAGAGCTGCTTCCTAGAAGCTGAGAAGAGAAGGCTCCCAGGCAGCTGGGCTGCTGGTCTTCTCTGACTCTCTGGAGGTATGGTGGCATGGAAGAGGGCCAGGTGCTCTCTAACATATGAGAAAGCTAGGCTCTGCCTGGCCTGTCCCCCAGCCTACATGGCCCCATGCAGCCTCAGGATGGAGACTCTATGGTGTTGGTGTCCAAGGCCTCTGGTTCCACTGATCTGGGAATGGTTGACCATAGAGTCTGTTCCAGATTCCATTCCTGGCAGGAATTCTCTAGTGGCCTGGCCACGACGCCTGGCTTGTGGAAGGCAACATGTTTATTGCTGAGCTTCACAAACCTCTCTGGGTGAACAGCTGGGGATGATTCCTGATTCAGCCCAACTCTTTGTCAGTCCCCTCCCAAATGGCCCCTCAAGGCCCTTTTGTCTAAGGAATGGGATGGACAGATGCTTCTCATCCTTGGTTTGGGACATTAGGGGCTGGAGTCTCCCCAGAGGAGGTTATGCTGGACTAAGGGAAGCATTCCTAATGGGTTTTTTTGGGATCAGAACTAGCAAAAGCTCAACAGGAAGGTCCTGAGGGTGCCCTAATGGGTCACTGGGGGCTGCCTTCTCACGTAGCCCTGGGGAGTTCCTGGAAATAAAGCAGTTCTGATGGGAGGGGCTGCAATGCCTTAGATGGACAGGGTGCCTAGCCCCAAGATCCTGTGTCCTCAAGAAACCTGATCTACTTATCCTTAAATGTGACTTCTGAGGCTGTCACAGGGCAAGGTAGTTTACTCCCTGCTCTATCAATTATGCAAGAAACCAACTCTGGAAAATAGGCCAGGAATCAGAGGAGACCATCTCACTGATACTTAAGGCAGACCCCAGTGTCTTTTGGGTGACATGCCATATGGCCCTTGAGGGATGGTATGATTAGCCTCCTGTTGGCTTCTGAATCACAGACATTTTGCTCAGATTGGCTTCCTTTACAAAGAGAAATCCAAAGCCTCTGAGGAACTCAGGGAGTTTCCACATTCATGAGGATGTTAACAGAATCCTAGGTCATGGGCTATCTTCCTTGTTTTTTTTGTTTTTATTTTTTTCTTTTTGAGACGGAGTCTCCCTCTGTTGCCCAGACTGGAGTGCAGTGGCACGATCTCGGCTCACTGAAACCTCCGTCTCCCAGGTTCAAGCAATTCTCCTGCCTCAGCATCCCAAGTAGCTGGGACTACAGGCACGCGCCACTACATCCCACTAATCTTTGTATTTTTAGTAGAGATTGGGTTTCACCATGTTGGCCAAGATGGCCTCGATCTCCTGACCTCGTGATCTGCCCTCCTTGGCCTCCCAAAGTGCTGGGATTCCAGGTGTGAGCCATTGCGCCCAGCCAGCTTTTTAAAAAAAGTATTCTGTTGCCCAGGCTGGAATGCAGTGGTACAATCCATAGCTCACTGTAATCTTGAATTCCTGGGCTCAAGTGATCCTCCTGCCTCAGCCTCCCTAGTAGTTGGGACTATGGGTACAAGCCACCGTACCTGGCATTTATCTTGCTTTGGGTAGAGGCTTGTAGTTCAGAAGAAAGAGAATTGTTGAAGGAATGGAGTAGAGCGGCTAAAAATGGGGCAGGGCATCTCAGGAGGCTTTTTCTAGCAGTATGACCGTCACTGTACAGCTTCTTAGGAAGCAAGCATCTCACCCTGTCAGATGGCACCCTGTTCATTTCCAGCTACCATGAGTAGCCAATTCCAGAGCAGGATGGAAGGCTGGCGACCTCTGGTCAAGACTTGCTAATCTGGGGACAGGCTAAGTTGACCAGCTCATCAGGGTTTCCCTGGACTTCACTGGTTTTAGCACTGAAAGTGCCATGTCTCAAAAACTCCTTCAGTCCTGGGCAGACCAAGACAGTTGGTTACCTAGTACAAACTGTCGTGTAGTCCACCTGGAAGCACAGAGTGAGGGGACAGTGTCCCAGCTTCACGGTGAGACCTGGGCACGTTACTCCCTCTGCCTGTAAAATGAGGGGCAGGAAAATATGATGCTTTTCTCTCAGGCTTGATAGGAGAACTGAGGCCAGGCTACCTGGCCTCGGTTATTCATTTTGCCCAGAATAATCCCACATAGGGAAGAATCTGCCACAACCACTGTGGACTTTTTGGTGTATTTTCAGAAGCTGTTTGGTGACTGGAACCCATCTCCAACATCACATCTTTCTGCAGAGTAGTTTGGTGGTGTTTCAAATGGTGGATTTTCCAACTAACAGAAACAGTGGGCCTGGGTCGATGAGAGGCCAGGGTGCATACTCGGGTGAGGAAGCAAATCTGAACCCAGGAGCCACCCTGACAGCTGCTTAGCCAGAGGAAGGCTGTCGTGAGAGGCAGAAATGGCCATGTCCCCTCACCCTCCTCTGCTCAGCTGCCTTTGGCTCAGCTGCTGTTACGAGAACAGCAGGAGACAGCTGCACCTTGGGGGCTGAATGAAGCCTGGAGGAGAGGAACAGAATGTGAGGCAGTTCCTGAGGGAAGCTCAGGCTAACACTGTGGGAGTTGCTTCCTTGGCACACCCACTGCAACCAAAGTCATCTAGTTCCAGGGGTCTCCAGAGTTGCTGTTTCTGGGAATTTGGATCAGTAGATCTGAGACCAAGCACCAGCTTTCTAGAGATGGTGTCTAGCTGGAGAAGCTGACTCCACCGGTGGTCACAGGTGGCAGCTTGGTCATTCCAATGTCGCTTTCATCTAAGGCATTACTCTGGTATTCTCTGTCTTCCCATCTCTCTACACCTATTTCACATGCACACTCCAAATCCTTTGGAGGGAAGGCATTTGAAATAGTCACAGCTGACAGTTGCTGGTTTGGTGTTGATAATTTTCTCATTAGCAGAGATAGGAGCTACTGTTCATTTAGTGATCATGTTAAGTGTGTTAGTGGGTTTTCACAGTAACCTATGAGTGGATTTATTCTCCCTATTTCACAGATGAAGAAACTGAGGCTCAGAGTTTGTTCATCAAAGCTGGAAGCATTTTAAGGAGCAGTGTATCCCAGGGAGTCAACTATGTGGGATAGAAATCCTTCTTCTGTAGCCACGTCTCCCTGTAAAATACATTCTCAACATTTCAGCAGCATCTTTAGATATCAAGAATTGTGAAGGGAAAGGTTTTGGTGGGAGTAACATCCGTGTCTTTGCATGTAAACCACGAGGTTGGGAGGTGGGTGTGAGCTTCTGAGCAGCCAGGATGAAGGGCAAGTGAAGGGTCAATGAAGCCAGAGCCTCAAGGCTTGTCTGGGCTCTAAAATCAGAATGAAAAACTAATCAATGAGTCCTTTTAGTCAATCCATATTGATCAGCCATCTCCTGGGGGCAGAGGCCTGGACACCCAGACAAACATCACATCATGTGTTTGCTGATTTAAAGTGAGCAGAGGTTAAAAGAGAAGACATACCCCCTGCCCTTGAGGGGCTTGTGGTTAATTTAGGAGAGAAAAGTATACAGATGGGTCACTTGAAGTGTGTGGACATCAAAGGACAAAGCAAAGTCCAATGGAATGAGTCAGCAAAGCTTACAGCTGGAGGCATTTGGAGGGTAAAAGCCAGGGAGAGACAGATTTTGGCTCAGTATAGTGAAGACTTTGGTAACTTGGCTGCCCAAAGGTTGAAGGGCAGTTATTAGAATCAGTGAATTTTTGGCCATCAGAGGTAGGTATTCAAGCAGAGGCTGGGAAGGCAGGGGAGCCTTTGGACATCTGGTGAGTAATCACATTAGGAGGTATGTAAATCCTTTCCAACCCTGAGCTACCATGTCCTGCCTTGCTCACATTGGGTATTAGAAGGACTGTCTTCCCTATCAGAGTGGCCGGCTTCTAGCAACCTGCCAGCTTTGGAACTGCCCCTCTTTGCAGCCATTCAGCAGGTGCCAGGAAACACAATGCTCCCAGCCTTGCCACCCTTACCTCATGCCCCCAGGATCATGGGACATGTGGCAGCAGCTGGGGGAAGATTTGGGCTTAATGTATTTTGGTTTCTTGCCTTTGTCCGTCACAGACCTTGTTACTGAGGTTTTCTTGAAAGACACAACCCAGTGATGGCCTTTTGGTCCAAGGACTCTCTGACTGTATCATCAGTGACTCATCTACCTCCGCGGGGAAGGGATGTACGATAAGTTCCTGCACCACTTGAGGAAAACTTAGCTACTGAGAGGCAGAAGTGGCCATTGCTAGTCATGCAGATTTGAAATCCTGATTTCCTTTGGTAGTTGCTCTTTATTATTAGCTTTGAACCTGGGCCCTGACATGGCCCACATGCAGCCTCCTTGCTTAGGTCCTGTGACATACAAACTGCATCTATGGGTGGGCAGGAAAGACCTAGTGGAGGGGGCCAGGACATAGCATGTTGGCTTGACCTAAGCAACAGTCCCAGGACAGCAGGCTAGATCTATGGTGGCTGAGCTGAGTTTCCCAGCTAGACACTCTCCCAGACACTTGGCTCAAATACCATGCCCTAGCAGTGCCTGGGGAGTTGTACTCTAGTCAAGGCCATTAATGCCTAGTGGGATGTTAAATTTTGAGGGAGAGCTAGCGCTCCAAGAGCTGAGCTGTGTTGAAGCAGTGTTGGCCAGGCCACCTGCTGGCTGGAGATGAGGAAGAGCACTCAATAAATCGTTAGTGACTTATGCAAGGGCTGCTGTATCTTGGTTCTGCAGGTATCAGGTAGGCAGGTATCAGACCCTGCCTCCATCACACAGAATGTAAGAGCTAGAGTTTGGAGGAGTCCAGTCTTCTCTTTCAGTGGGGGAAACAGGGGCCCAGAGAGGGCAAGGGACTTTCAGGCAGTGAGAAAACAGCCAAGTTGGCATGGGACTTGTGCCCAGGCCAAGTTCTCTCAGAGCCCTCTGAATGCTGCAGTAGGTTAGCATCCAGGGCTTATGCAGGTGGGATGGCTCTAAATCAGTCGTCAGCTTTTATTTCCCCCAGCATGCCTCATGTTAGGCCTGTGGTACAGTGATTAGAAAGGGATTAGACTCGAATATTTTTGGCTTAGAGCTAAGTTCTGTGGTCCCAGGACTTGCTTAGGGCCTTGCTTTCCTCAAGGCAAGCTGGTACCAACCTGCCTCAGGACACACAGGGTACTCTGGAGCCTGGGCAGCAGGTGCCAGAGAAGAGCTGGGATTCCAGCCACAGCTGAGGATGAGCTGGCTGGGCTGCCTTTTGAGATGTGTCTGTGTCCACACTTGGAATTCAGCTGAGGCTCAGGGGAGGGGCCTGTTATAATAGAGGAAAACAAGACTTTCTGCTGGGGCCTGTCTTCCCTAATGTAGGCTTTCTCCTCACGCCAGGCCACACGACTCTGGAAGCACGCAAGAGGTATTCTTAGAGTGCATACATGAGTACTGGTAGCCTGGGGCTTTGAACAGTGGGGCTTTGTATAGCCTAAGCTTGACATTTGGGGCTAATGGCAGCAGCAGCTGCTGCTTCTGCAGACTTCCAACAGCCATTGGTTTCTCTCTTTATGTCTTTGTTTTCCTGAGTACAGCTTCAGATCCCCTGATCTACCCCAGGCCTTTTCCTGGAGCCTCTCTGTATCTTTAGAGGCTCCCTTTCATGGGAGCCAAGCTGCTGCCTCCTCCCCCTTCTCTCAGATCCTGGGCCTTCTCCTGAATCACTGCATGGCCAACTTTTCTCCAGCACCTCCTGCTGCTGCCTTGTTCTCTTATCTTCCTCCAAGGCCTACAGTAGCATACAGCATATCCTCCTTCCCCCACTGCATCCACTTTTAGATGGCCTGAGCGGCAAGAAAGCTTATAAATCTTTTAGTTTAATCCCCTCATTTTCAGGTATGGAAACTGAGGCCTTGACAGGTGAAGTGAGTTGCTCAAGGCCACCCAGCTAGTAAGGTTTCTCCTCAACCTGCTGGCTCATGAACACCCTGCCATCTTCCAGTCCACCAGTGCCAAACAGCCAATAACATCTCCAGTAGCAGCCCCATTGTTTTTCTCAGCTTGATCTTACCTGCTGCCCCAGGCCCTCTTCCCTCCTCTGGCTGAGTTCTGACTGGTCTCAACCACTGCTACTGGTTCACAGATCAGACTGAAATAAGTCAGGCAGGCCTCTGGCACTTTTACCAACAGAGAGGGCCAGGCCTGTGGGTCTCAGTTTTGTCCAGAGTGTATTCAGGGAGAAGCCAGTTAGCTTGCCATTGAGAGAGGAGTCTTGGGAGTCAGGAAAGGACATGGTTCTGGAATCTTTTGCAGGAGCCTGACCAGCTCAGACCCTACTTAGCTCAGGAAATCCCTCACCAACACCGCACTTACCAAGCATCTGCCTTCCCCTAGCTGCTGCTTTGACCCTTCTGAGCCTCTAGTGCCTCTAAAGCTGCTGGGGCATCTGTCCCCACAGCATCTCACCTGCTTTTCAGAGGAAGAGTGGCCCAGCTGGGCCTGGGTCATGCCTGAGTTGGCCTCTCCTGAGGCCCTCTCCACTGTCCTCAGCCACAGGCAAAGCTTCACCGTCCTGTTAAAGCCACTCAGCCTCTCCCTTCCATCCTTCCAGCAGATGATCCCTGGATAATTTGTGCAGCAAATCCTCTTTCATCTTTAATCTGCGGTACTGCACGAAGGGAGCCTGCCTCTAACCTGCCTCTTCACAGCTCAGGTGGAGGTGGAGAATTTCTGACATTCCTCTTTAAGAGGTGTGGTGATCAGTAATGGGCATCAGTCGGCTTCACTTTATGAAAACCTTGCTGAATCTCTGGGGTAACTAATGGTTTCTCTCCAAGTCATGCAGCAACTCCCCCTCCCTTCCAAAGGCATCTCCTTATGGGGATGCCAGGTGGGCCGTTCTTTTTTCTTTGGGCACTGGCTCAAGCCCCCGAGGTGCTTCTGGAGCTGAGTAAAGAAAAGCCAGGTCTCCAGTGCAGCCCGGGGACGAGGAGCTGAGGCTCTCCGCTCTGCCCTAGCTGACTCTCCATACCCTGTGTCTCTGGGGGTCAAGGGCTGCGAGGCCGGCCTCCAGGTGGGCACCCTGGCCCTGCTCGCGCCGGCACCCCTAGCCGCTGAGGTGCAGGCCCCGCCCCGAGGCCGGTTCGCTCCGCCCCCGCTGACGGTCCCGCCCCCAGCGATCCGCACTCGGGGAGGCGGGCGGGGCACGGCGGTGCTGCGAGGTCGGCGCGCAGCTCCCGCCGCGGGTCGCTACGGCGCTGTCCAGGCGGAGCCTGCCCCGCCCGGGCTGCAGCCATGGTAAGGCAGGCGGGTGGGCGCGGGGCAGGGCCGGGGTGTGCAGGACCAGCAGCTCCCGGGCGGCTCCAAGGGGACCCGCTGCACCGCAGTCGCGGCTGTGCGGGATGGGAGGCGCCGTCGCCGGCCCCGGGCATAGGCTCGCACTGCTGCCGGGCGGCGCTGCGTCGCGGCTCCCAAGTTTTCCCTCTGAGCAGCCACAGAGTGGGCCCCGACCCCTGGGTGATGCTTGCGGTCTTGAACGAAGGGGTGGGTCCGTGCTGAGGGAGGTGCCCGCCGGCGGAGACGCGTATGTTGGGTTGGGGAAGGCGCGTTAGTGATGACTGAGGTGAGGGTCCCTATGCTCGCCTGGGTCAGCTTTTACCTGAGTAACCCCTCCTCACCCACCTACCCTGGGCACCGGGGCCAGTATCAACTTCCTCTGGAAAACACAGAGGAGGCCCATAAACACTGCCTGCCTCCCTAAGAGGGATGGTGAGATGCTTGGCCCCTCCTTCCCTCAGCCTGACAAGGGGCAGTCCCTGAGCCTTTCCCAAAGAGACCCCTGAGAGGAGGCCCAGCCCACCGTCCTGCCCGGTGGGATTAGCTAATATCTCTTTGCCCCTGGGTCAGGAACCATGGGAAAGCTTCCTCCTGCTGCACCTACCTCCTCCCTTTCCACCAGCAAGGTCCCTCCGCAGTGTGTGGGGGTGGGGGCACCCATTCCTGCCACCTGCCTCTAGTGGAAAGAGAAGCAGTAACCCCAGCCAGCCTCCCTGGAGATGCCCAGGTAGGAAGTTTTGATGCTTGGCTTAAGATGTCTTCTCTTCTCCTGACATTGTTGCTGGAGTCTGTCATAAATAATGTAAGGCTGTCAGGACCTCCAGGCCACACACCATCCTTTCCTCCCAGTCTGGAAGACCTACAGCCTTTGCCTTCTGCACTGGGGGCACAAACTGTTTATAGAAGGAGGGGATCCCTGACCAGCCTGTGGGGCGCAATGTTGGCTGTGGGCAGACTCCAGAAGGGAACTCCCTGGGCCCCCTGGGATCACAAGCTTTCAGGTCTGGAAGGGCCAACTTTTGGGCTCTTGTCTCTCAAGCTGTGTCCAGGCAGAGGCCCAAGCCTTGGCCAGGAAGTCTCGGTGACCCTGTGACCTTCCCCAAAGGGGGTTCCTGGGAGAGGCCTGTCCTTATTCCTGTCCCCCACTTCTCCCCACATGGGGGAGGGAGGGACTGATTGTTCTAGGGATGGAAGCCTGGGGAAGCACTGATTGTCCCCAGTGCCAAGCCCAGCAGGGGCTAGAGGGGCTTTTTCTGCCACACACTAAGTTCAGTTCAGCTGAGGTCTTGGTGCTTTCAGCTTGTCTAAGGCCACCCTGTTCTTCTCTAATTAAAGACACCCCCCACCCCAGCCACCACCACCAAAGTCCCCATCCTCAGGCCCCTGCTCTCAAGCCAGCCAAGTTCTTAGGCTGACTGGTTCAGATCAGACTCTTCTATGAGGGTCTCTTTGTCCAAGGACATCAGTGTCCCAGCTGCTTTGGGAATCAGTGGGGAAGACCTCCCCAACCCAGATGCCCCAGGGAGTTGAAATTTACAGGTGAAAAGAATGACAGGTCAACATTAATGACCATTCTGTGACTTGAGATGCACCTTCTCTTCTCAGGTTCACCGCAGCTTAGGGTATCTGTCATCTGGGAGTGCTTTCTCTCCCCAGCCTCCCTGGGAGGCAAGGAAGGGCCATTCACAACTGACCATTAAGGTCCTGAAATTAAGATACTATCCAGACTCATAAAAGATGTTTCCTTCCAACCGGAAACAGTGGCCCCCTGATTCCTAGTTGAGTGCACACTTCTAACCAGGCCCCTTAATTTGTCTCCCACTTAAATGGCAGCTCTGAAGTTTCTGGGCTGCCACCCTCTCATTGTCTTGAACCCATGCTCCTCAAAGACCAAGTGCTAACATCTCCCCTGTTGACACTACAGAAGCGATGGAGTGATGGAATTGATATAGGTTGCTATGAGTAGGAGGTGAGGTGTCCTAGGGTAAGGGGAGTCCCTTGAGCAAAGTCACCTCTGTGGTGGGGCTCCCTGCAGGGAAATCTAGGAGCAGATTTCTGAAGACAGTGAGGTTCCCTGCTGGAAAAAAAGAAAGGGACACTTGGGAAGAAGTGTGGGGCCATTCCCACAAAAATCTATACGGGGGATTATAGGGCATCTCGTCCTACTCCAGCACTGCTTAAAGTTAAGGTGAAAGAAAGAGATTGGGGGATTGAAATCCTTTGGGAATGGGTATCCTGGGTGGCTGTCCTCAAGTGCTGATGGGCCGGGTCACTTGGGGACAGCTCATAGTCCTCAGGCAGACCACGGTGTCCTTGGGGGTTAACAGGAGAGGTCAAATGGATCAAGAGCCTGTGCTGCAGGCAGACATTGGGAGGTTGGTGCTGTGCCCACCAGGGTAGGCAGCGGGCAGGCGTCATGGGGCAGCCAATCAGAGGAGGAGGGGACTGCAGAGGAACCAAGTGATCCTGCTGCAGCTGAGCTGTCCTTGGACGGTGGGAGCCAAGGGAAGGGGAGGAGGAGAGGGGGTGGGGAAGGACATTCCACAGGCTTTTTTGGCCCCTGCCAGAGACAGAAGGGGGTCACAGAGAAAAGGAAAGGAGCAAGCCAGGAAGCCAGACAACAAGAGCATCAAAACAAGGCTGTTTCTGTGTATGAGGAACTTTGCCTGGGAGATAAAATTAGACCTAGAGCTTGCTGACAGGGAGTCTGAAGCGTGGGACATGGACCGTTCACTGGGATGGCAAGGGAATTCTGTCCCTGAGGACAGGACTGAAGCTGGGGTAAGGTGCTGCTCTGGGAGATGGGTGGACCTGACCTGTCTTCTCCCTGCCTTGGATGGGATTGGGGCTCAAAGTCAGAAAATGATTTGGTCACTGGCAGAGCTGGGGGGTGGGGATGTGCAGGCAGGAGGCGAGGACCCTAGCATCCTGATTCCTAGTCTAGAGCCCCTTTGGCCTCCTCCACGCGGATGAGCAGCCAGGGCTGGCAGAGATGAGGATGGTGCTGGGTTCCTGGAGGCTATGCTGGAAGATCGTGGGGGCTAGGGATCTTCATTAGTGCCTTCCTTTCTCCCTTCCCCGCCCCTCCACTCAGTGTCCCTGAGTGAAACCAGGTGAAGCACAGCTTTCTCTCTCCCACCCTTGTCCTGATCCCCAGACCAACTGCTGGGTCATTGTGGATTTGTGCAGAGAGGCAGGATTTCCTGGAATTCCCCAGACTTATTAGCTGCCAGACAACAAGAGCTGCTGCCCCCAAGTTCCACCCTTTTTCTGTTGTCATATAATTAATTGTCTAAGCTGGGACATTTTTGAGAGTGAAAGGGCACAATTAATCATGATGTCAGGACAACAGGCATAAACTGGGATGTATGGTCGCCACTGGACCTCACAAATGTCATAGGTAAGAAAAGCCCTGGGTTAGGCTGGCCTCAGGACACCTTCTTCTAGTCACCTAGCCTCCACCTGCTGGTTCCAGTTTTGGGATAAGGGGTCTCTTTTCCTCCCCTCTGTCCAGGTGAGCACTGGAAACTATGGCTATAAGCAGATGTGAGGACTTGAGAGGCGTCAGCCTGGAAGTAGCTCCTAGCAGACTTTTCCCTCTAACCTCCCTATCTCAACCTCTTCCCTCTAGCATATACCTGTCAGTGTACATATCTGCCTCCCTCAAGTCTTCCCTTTGCAGGAAGACTGTGGCCATCTTATCTCCCCAACTCTAGCTGGGACTCCACAGTGGTCTGGGGTAGTCCCCACTAGCTTGGCTAACCCCCAGAGAGTGAGTCAGTTTCTGCAGCTGGCCCTTGTCCATTGTCTGGGGGTGGCACGTGGGTATTGTGAGGCAGAGCTGAACCCAGCACTGCCAGGCACCCCACAAAGGAGGCTGACCCCCAAAGGAGAGGAGAATCTTTAGGGTCTAGAGCTGACAACGAGAGTTGGGGGAAATGGTCCCTCTTCTGAGCTGGGGATAGGGTAGAACAGGCTTCTACAGAGGAGTCAGACCATTCTCTGCCTACCATCCCCTGTGGGTCATGGTTTAGGCCACACCCTCTCCTTACTGCTGGCTCTGGGAAGAGGGGTAAGGAAACAACTGAGGGTGCTTCCCCTTATATGTCTCTCACAGTTGGGGGCTGTCAGAAGCTCTGGAGGCCCAGCCATCCTTCAGTCTTCCCCAGGCTCTTCCATCCTCCCTTAACTGGTCCCAGCTGCCTTCCACCCACAGCCAGCATCCACTGGCAGATTTACTCTTCTCTCCCAGGGCCCAGGGTCAGATTCGGGTGTGGCTCAGTGTCTGAAGTAAGGGGTAGGATCAGCTATATTGAGCGCTGGGCAGTGAACCTTGGGGATTGAGCACTGGCAGTAGTCACTGACCAGTAGTGACAGGAAGCACAGAACCCCCTGCTGGTTGACCTGCCTGGCACAGGCAGCTCTCTTCTCTCCTACCTACTTCCCTCATCCCCTGCCCCATTCTGACGCTCTGTACCCTCCTTTTGGGTTTAATGCCTCTGTCTGCTCTAAAT